TATTTAATATTTAATATTTAATATATTTGGTATTTGGTATTTAATATTTATTATTATATAATATATTTAATTTTAATATAATTTAATATTTATTATTTAATATTTAATATAATTTAGTTTATTAGATTTTAATATAATTTAATATTTAATATTTAGTATTTAATATTTATTATAATATAATTTATTAAATAATAATATAAATAAATATTAAATATTTATATACTTTTATCATACAAAATTATCAAATTTCATATCTCTTATTTAAAATTGTATTTTTCTATTTTTCAATCTTTCAATTTATGTTTATTTTTCTTTTTTGTTTTTTTTTTTATTTTTATTTCATATTAGTATAATAATAATAATAATAATAATATTAAAAATAATTTAATTAATATTAAAACCAATTAATCGAGATTTCATAATTGTATCATGAGTTTATAATTGTAATTTGTTTTATAACCGATCCTCTCGTTAACTGTACTACCATTTTTTTTCCTTTCTTTTAGAGGTTATGTTCGTTCGTTTTTAATTATTGAAAGGAAAAAAAAAAAAACAAAAAAAAACTGGAAAAATACACCTACCAACGTTTGCAATAGAAACTTTTTAAAATGGAATATTGGTATTTATTTCAATTGTCAGTATTATTTCAGTTTTTGGTTAATAACGGGCTGGAGAAAAAAAAAATACCGGTTTTTACGAGAACAAAACCACAGAGAGAGGCAAAATACCGATATTCCAAAAATACCGGTATCAAGTTTAAATCCCCACCCCCAACCACCCCCCCCCTATCCCATCCCACTTCTCTCTTTCTTGTTTACAAGTATCGAGAATATTTCATTTTTGTTTTTTTATTTTTGATTTTCTTATTACCTGTAAACTTTTCTAATCTTTCACACGCGTGCACCCTTTCTTTGATTGTTAATTCGTTTTTTTAAATAAACATTAATTATAAAAAAAAAAAAAAACAAAGAGATTTATGTGCATGTCTGATCGAAACAACGTTCGTAACAATTTTTAAATTAAAATAAATAATTAAAAAAAAAAGAAAAAAAGAATAAGGAGAAATATAATTTACTGTTTAAATTAGAGAATAAAAATTGTTATTTTGGGTTAGCATTTAATTGATTGCAGATTTTGTCGATAGATGGCCTTTGAATATCAGCAATGACTCAGTTGCCAAATCCAATATTTAAAAAAATAATTAAAATAAATATAAAATATATGTAAAATATAAATAATATAAAAATATAAATTATAAATAATAAAATAAAATATTTAAAAAAAAATTACAAAAAGCGTTTGATTACATGTCTGATCAAAACAACGTTCGTAACAATTTTAAAATACAAAAAAAGAAAAAAAAAGAAAAACAAAATAATTTACTGCGTCATTTAATTTTTAAATTAAAGAACAAAGATTAATATTATTAAAATTAAAAAATTGTTTTTTAAATAAACATTAATTATAAAAAAAAAAATAAAAAATAAAAATAAAAGAAAAGTTTGATCGATGAACGTCAGATCAAAACGACATTTGTAATAATTTTCAAATTCAAAATTCAAAGAAAATAATTTACACAGTGTCGTTTAATTTTCAAATCAAAAAATCACAAATTGTTATTAAAAAAAAAAAAAAAAAAAACTGAAAAACAATAACAACAATCAATAAAAACAATCGAGAAATGTATTACGTTAAACTACAATAAATAATTTTCCTTCTAAATATATTTGTTTTTATTTTTTTTTTTTATACTCCAATAAATTATCATACTATTCTTCTTAGAAAAATAGAAATTTGATAGAAAAGCCCCCTTTGTTCACTGTAATATTCTCTCTCTCTCTCTTTCTTCTTCTTCTTCCTCTTTTCTATCTAATAAATTAAAAAAAGTAACCATTTTTATTCTCCAACAACGTATAAAATTATATTTTCATACTTTATATTTCTTTTACTAAATCATACATACACACAAATGTACACTTACTTTCCTACTTACACACATATATACATACAATACATACAAAGAAAGAATCCTACTACTACTACTACCACCTTCAACTCACCCCCTAACACCCCCTAACATCCCCCATTATTCTTAAAGAATATTAATCGCATTTTCCTGAGAAAATCGATAGAATATTTTCCGAGTGTTTTAACGATGGCTCCTAAGTAAAAGTTATCCTTTAACTACCCCTCACTTTTACACACACACACACACACACACATATATACAACCCTATATATTCTCTTTCTCTCACACACATACACATATATATATATAAAGTACACCCTTCCTATTCTCGAATAACGTGGGACAGGATAAATTTTGTCATAGTACAGCAAGCAACTTGGCGGATACGCTCGACAAAACTGTGCCGTCGGTTTTCTAGATAAAAAGAAAGTAGTAAGGGTAGGCGGTAAGGGTAGTTGGGGGTTGGGGGGGTTAAAAGTAAAAAGAGGGGGAAAAAAGAAAGGTAAGAAGAAGAAGAAGAAGAAGAAGAAGAAGAAGCAGAAGAAGAAGAGATGAGAAAAAAAAATACAAGCAAAAAAAAAAAGGAATAAAGAAAAAGTAAAAACCGAAAAGTAAGAAGAAGAAGAAGAAGAAGAAGAAAGTTGAAGAAAAAAGAAAAAAAGAAAAAGAAAAATGATTTTCGTGAAAAGTCTTCCTTTTTTTTTACCATCCCCTTGACTACCCACCACCACCACCACCACCATCACCACCCCTTTTTATACTCAACCCTTATTCGATTTTCTCGTGACAATATTTTTTCGTATTACGGGATATTAGAGTGAGTGAGAGAGAGAGAGAGAAAGAGAGAGAGAGAGAGAGAGAGAGAGAGAGAAGTACGAATGGCAAGTTATTTCTGTCGATCCGATAACTCGCATCGTATGCACGTTCTATAAAAGACTTTTTTTCTTTCTTTCTTTTTATTTCTTTCTTATTTTCTTTCATTCTTTCAATTCTTCTAAAAGTCTAACTTTATAAACCGTAGCTAAGAAGAGAGATGAGTATTATAAACGTTTACTATTCTATACACTAGGGGTTATATATATATATATATATGTGTATATGTATGTTTGTATTGTATATAACTTTTCTTATCGATTATTTCATAAATAGAGGGTTCATTCTTTTTAAAATAGCAATGTTAATAATAAATATTATAGTAGAAAGAGAGAGAGAGAGAGAGAAATTATTGTTTAGTTGGTAGTACACTTTTTTGTTTAATAGAAATGAGATTTATAATGAAATGAAATAATATTAAATATAATATAATGTAATATATTATTAATATAATTATAAATTAATGTAGTATAATATTATTTATATTGTAACATTAAATCAAATAAAATTAAATTAAATTAAATTAAAGAAATATAATAAATTATATTAATATAATATAATATATTGTATTATAATACAATATAAAATAAAATTCAATTATATAAAATAAATATACATTAAAGCACAATATAATATAATATAATGTAACATATAATAATATAAAATAAAATTAAATTAAATTTATGTAAGGGGGGCCTTCGGGGTAAACACCCTAAAAGGGTATACCTGAAATAAACTTCTTATCTTATAAAATAAAATTAAATTAAATAAAAGAATAATATTAAATTAATATAATATATAATATAATGAAATATCAAATATAATTGAATTAAATTAAATTAAATTAAATAAAAGAAATATAAAATAAATTAATTTAATCTAATATAATAAATTCTAAGATAAAATATAATAAAATAAAATTAAATTAAATTAAATTAAATTAAATTAAATAAATAAATATATATATATATAAAAACAATGATGTAATATAATACAACATACAATAATATATAATAATATAAAATAAAATAGAATTCAATTAAAAATATAATAAATTAATATAACATATAATATAATGTAATTAAATATTAGAAGAATATAAAATAAAAAGAAAAATAAAACTAAACACAAAAAAGATAAAAGATAGAAAGATGCAATGGGCTGGGGGGTAGAGGGCAGGGGTTTAGGGGGTAGGGGATTACACGGATGGTAGATTCTTTAATATCACTCTTTTATTTATTTTTCCCTCTTTTTTTTTCCTGTTTCTTTTTAAAGAAATCATTTCTCGCACAGAGCACACACACACACACACATAAATACATACATATATACACATATACACACTAACTCACAGGCGAGTGAGAAAACGAGGGTCTGCGACTTGAAGCCACAGAAAATCCAAGGGTGGTTCCCTGGAGGATATTTGCAGGATAACTGACGAAGAAAAAGAAAAAGAAAAATAAATGGGAAAAAAAGAAATAAAAGAACAGAAAAAGAGAATGAAAGAAAGAGAAAGAAAGAAAGAGAGAGAGGGAGAGAGAGAGAAGCAACGCTCAAGTGAATCCAATGCGGACAGCAAAACACAAGAAAAGAAGAAACGAGGAGATGGTGTGTGTGTGTGTTATGCTGCTGCTAACTCCTAAACACATACACATATACGTACACATATACGTACACATACACGTACACATACACGTACACATATAGATACAG